TAAGAATTTTGAAGGGCTTTTGGCAGGAGAGTGACATGATCGGATGTGTATTTTGAAAAGGTCACTCTGGCTTCCAGGTTGAGCAGAGTTCCGGGTGGAGGAGAGGAAATGCAGAAATCAGCAGAGCCTCCAATCATGGTTTAAGCAAGATGGTGGCTCGGAATACTGGTGATTACGGTAGAGAAGGAGGGAAAGGTGCACATTCAGGGCATATTTTGAAGGTGGAATAAACAGGCATGCTGGTGGGTGGGGTAGATGGGCGTGGTGGTGACTAAAAGAGAGGAATTAAGGATGACTCTCAGATTTCCAGCTGGAGTAACTGGGAAGATGGTAAAATCCTATTCAAAGATGGGGAAGACGGTTGGACAAACAGATTTGGAGAAAGAAGTCTTCACTCCTTTAAGTGTACGTCTCAGTCTCTTAGTCATTGGAATAACTTAGATCACCATTTAGCATTTCTTTTAAAAGGCAGGTGTGTAGCAGGAAACTGCTGCCTGGCCTGTGGCAGGCCGAGATTTTTTATATAGGGGAGTTTAGGGGGCAGGGAGCAATACAGCTGCAAGTGGGAGCTGGAGGCTTATCTTGATACTGTATTTGATAAATATACACGCTTTTTACTCAAACTGTGTGTTTGCTTAGGGTGATTTGGTGAGCTAGGGAAGATCACAAGAGGGGGTGCTAAAGACCCCCAAAGCTAGCCCTTGATATTGTCACTTACTAAATATTAAGGAAGAGATAATACTGCAGTACTTAAATATTTTTTAAAAACAACAACAAAAAGGAATTTGATTGTGTTTTCCACGTTATTTTATACACAGGTTATCTTCCCAACAGTGCAGTTAGTTTAGGAAGAAAATAATTAAACATGTAAATGTGTAAGCCAAGAGCCAAATCCACTCTGAACAGCCAAGGTTGTGAACTTATTTAATTTGCCCTTTCCCTGAGGAGTCATTTCTTGGATCATCGACTTATCATTATTCTGTAAAACAGTGGTAACCCCTGTCATAGTCTGCCTATTGCCAGAGTGTGATCCAGCTGTGGGGCTGGAAGAGTTTATGTTCATTGGATTTTAATGACTCAGTTAATAAAGGTCATTCCTAAAAGTAATAGAAACCTAAGTGTGTGGAAACAGAATGGATAAGACAGACCCAGGGGATATTTCTAGTAGTTCCTTGGTGTTGTCCTTAGATATATGTTTAATTCTTAAAAGCAATTAAGAAGGATCTTTCCTTTTAATCAATTTACTGATGCAATATTCAACTACGCTAGTAAAATATTATTTGAAACTCCTCAATAATAAAAGGTACCACGTAAACACCAGACTTAAAATGTTAGATAATATTGGCATAACAACATATTGTTAATATAATACTGGTAACAGTATAATTGTAATTTTATTGAACTGTAATATTTGTTAATATCATATCCAGTGTTCTCCACTATCTTTGAGAGAATGAAGTAACTTGAGTCTCAGGTGAAATCTGGTTGGATATGAGTCTTGAAGTTAAAAGGGACCTTAAAGAACATTTAATCTTGCCCTTTTAAATATTTACTAACAGTGAATGATTTAGTAAATATTTACCCAAAATAGTGTTTACTAGACTGAAAAAACTGCTTAACGTAAATGGTGATTATTTGAATTATCTAAAATTAAATTGATGGCATTTAAGAATATGTGAAAAGCACAGATCAATGGAACAGAATTAAAAGCCCAGAAGTGCAACAACACATATACGCACAACTAATCTTCGACAAAGGAGCCAAGAACACACAATGGAGAAAGAAAAGCCTCTTCAATAAATGGTGCTGGGAAAACTGGACAGCCACATGCAAAAGAATGAAAGTAGACCATTATCTTTCCCCACGCACAAAAAATAGACTCAAAATGGACCAAAGACTTGACGGTAAGACCGGAAACCATAAAACTTCTGGAAGAAAATATAGGCAGTACACCCTTTGATATCAGCCTTAAAAGGACCTTTACAAATACGATGTCCTCTCTGACAAGGGAAACAAACAAACAAAAATAAACAAGTGGGACTTCGTTAGACTAAAGAGCTTCTGGAAGGCAAAGAAAACTAAGATCAAAATGAAAAAACAACCCACCAACTGGGAGAAAATATTTGCAAATCATATATCCGATAAGGGGTTAATCTCCATAATACATAAAGAGCTCACACTACCAAACCACAAGAAAATAAACCACCCAATCAAAAAGTGGGCAGAGGATATGAACAGATATTTTTACAAAGAAGATATACAGATGGTCAATAGGGACATGAAAAGATGCTCAACATCACTAATCATCAGGGCGATGCAAATCAAAACTACACTTAGATATCATCTTACACCCATTAGAATGGCTATAATCACCAAGACAAGAAATAATAAATCTTGGAGAGGTTGTGGAGAAAAGGGAACTCTCATCCACTGCTGCGGGGAATGCAAACTAGTGCAGCTACTATGGAAAACAGTATGGAAATTTCTCAAAAAACTAAAAATAGAAACACCATATGACCCAGCTATCCCGCTACTGGGTGTTTATCCAAAGAACTTGAAATCAAGAATACAAAGAGACTTATGCACCCCTATGTTCATTGCAGCATTATTCACAATAGCCAAGATGTGGAAGCAACCCAAGTGCCCAACAACTAATGATTGGATAAAGAAGATGTGGTGTATATATAAAATGGAATACTACTCAGCCATCAAAAAAGACATAATCGTCTCATTCGCAACCACATGGATGGACCTTGAGGGCATCATGTTAAGTGAAATAAGCCAGAGAGAAAAAGATACACACCATATGATTTCACTCATCTGTGGAAGATAAACTTACAGACAAAGAGAACAATTTAGTGGTTACCAGGGGGAATGGGGGGGGAGGGAGGGCACAAGGGGTGCAGGGGTACATTTATATGGTGTTTGACAAATATTAATGTACAACTGAAATTTCACAGTTATAAACTATTTAGACCACAATAAAAAATTAAATAAAAAAAAGAATATGTGAAAAGGAATAAATTTAGTCATTCCCTAGATACAGATTAAATATTTTCCACCTCAAAAATCCAATGAGATGAGATACAAATGCATAATTCATACATGTAATAAATTTCTTACATAGTTTTATAAAGCCTTCATGATCTGCTTCCTGTTGACTTTTCCATCCTTGTCTCTTTTTTTCTACCCTTTTCCATCCCTCAGTCTTCTTAGCTACTTTTTTACTAATCTTCCTACTCTGAGCCTCAAAACTACACTGCTCTCTCAGGTCTCAAGGCCTCTGTACAGGGGATTCCCTCTGCCTGGTCCCTTTCCCTCACTCTTTGCTGGGTCCTTCTTCAGGCTAGTATTACTCCCTGCAAGAAGCCATCTGTCCATCTCCTTTACCCCAATCTCAGAGCCCAGGGAGACTTCGGATGTTCTTGGGCAAGTCTCTGCTCACTTTTTCTGGGACAACAAAACTAACACTGTCCTATCCATTGGTCAATCCTCAACCTCTAGAACAGTACCTGAAACATAACAGATACTATGAATAAGTGAGTAGATAAAGACGGTGAGCACTGAAGAATTTGATATTTATAGTTTACACTTTTAAACAATAACATAAATACGAAGAAATAAAGTTGCTGTTTTTAAAAGATGTATTTTACTTGAATTCATATATTCTCTAAAAAGAGAATATACATAGCCTGGCATCAGTTTGATAAGAGACAAAAATTTTAGTATTAAAAAAAATTTAGTATTGCTATATGTTAAATTTCTGTCCACAGGTTAGATAAAATAGAATCCAGACGGTTACAAATGCAAATGGCACTTTACTGTAAAATCAACTCAAGCACTACAACGCTCAACTTGGAAGCTTTGTCCTCAGCAAATCAGTTAAAAGAAAGGAAAAAGTCTCTAAAACCGTCTTCTTAGAAACTAACGACCTTTAAAAATGCCAGCATTCCCCCCAGAGAATGGATATGATCTGAGTACTTCCATTTCTGAAATTGTGCAAGAAAAAACGCCTTGGTTTTGAGAGCGAAAATGCCTCCTTCTACACAGGTTTAAGGTCTTTCAAGTCTCTATGGAAAACACTATTCTTCTTTAAGAACAAAAGGAGCAATAAAATACTAGCTTGGGAAAGAAGGACCAAGTGCTGCGTTCCCAGAGAGATTTAGGGGGAAAAAAACCCGTTAAAGCTCTTATTAGATCTGATAACTCTAGACTGCACACCTTTTGCCAAACAATGCGGGAAACAAAAAGAAACTGAATTTTTTTTTTGCGTCTTACCTTGTAGAACATCTAGCAATGAACCAAAAACTCTTGAACAAAGCTCAACTTTTTTCTCCTTCACATCTCAGACTATCGGGGAGACGACGGGGTCTCCAATAAACATAAGACCCAGCCTCGTTGCATGTTCAATTGCTGATATTTTACAAGCACATTGGCTGTTTATAATTAATGAACCAAAGGACCAAACTAAAATAATAACAATGACAGTAATAGTAACAAATGGATTGGCTTGGGGGTAATTTCGGGAAGGAACGCTGGGGGCGTTGCTTCTTCTTGTCCACGCTACCGAGCTCTCCTGTCCCTCTGGCTCGCAGCGGACACCCCCGGCGCTCGTGACCCAACCGGACACACTCGGCAGGATTCAGCCCCCTTTTCTTCTCTCCAAGAGAGATTGCGCGAGGGGGAGACCCGTATTTCCATGTTAAAAACCTTAAAAGCCTGCGGAGCCGCGCGCGGGACGCCGACATTCGTTCCCGGAAGGCCTCGGCCCGCCCCGGCCCCCTTACTCTGGGGCTCCATGGTCAGATGCTCCTGGGCCCCCACGGCCGCCGCCGCTGCCCTTCCTAACGCCTCTCCTCCGGGGCAGGCGTCGCTCGGGTTGCCCTGACAACCCGGAGGGCGGGGGAGGCGGGGCAAGAAGGACGGCGGGAGGGAGGGACCAAAAGTCGCGAGGAAACGCGGGCGACCACGAGGGCCCGCGCGTCGCTGTGGGGACCCAGTGAGGGTAGCGTCCCCGTCGCCGGCTGTAGATTGGGCCCTTGAGGCCTGGTCGGACGGTCGCGCCCTCCCTGGAGGCCCTTGCGCCCCCGCCGGGGCCTGTGCCTACGCCTTCGGGGCGGGGCCTGCGGGCGTTCCGTCGCCGTCGCGAGGCGTCCGTCGGTCCGTCGGTCCGTGCGTCCGGGGAGCTCGGCCTGCCCGGCGGGGAAGGGTGGCCGGGCCTGTGCCTCCCTCCCTGGACTCGGGAGCCGCCGCTGCAGGTAAAGCCGGGCCGGCGGCACGAGGGGCCGGGGGGGGCCCGGGCGCACCTGTTGCGGCCGCCGGGGGGCCCCTGCCCGCCCGTTGGCCCCGGACGACCCCGCCCCGCCTGGCGAAGGCGGCCTCCCCGAGCTCGCGTGCCGGCGGGCGGAGCGACCTGTATGCACCAGCCCTCCGAGCGGGGGTCCCTCGGCAGCCGGGGCGGCGGCCCAGGCCGGGGAGGGTGGTCCCTTGTGCCACGTTCACGGGAAGCAGTAAGCGAGTGAAGCCTCGTCTGTCGTCAGCCCTGAGCCGGACGTGCTCTTGGACCTTGAAACCCGGGAGAATGCCTTTGCCCTGCCTTGCTCTCCCGTCCCAAGTATCACTTTTCTGGCAGGGGACCCGGGTCGGATCTTTCCGGTTGGGTTAGGTGTTTGTCTGTTTTTGTTCGTTTCCATCCGCCCGGTTTTCGGTTGAGTTATGGAATCAGCCCACAACGTTTTTACCAAAACTTTGTACAAAGGGCTGTTAAACAAATGTAACATTATCCCACACCTTAGTCTTTCACAATATTGGTTTTACAGACACTGATACAGGTTGTGCTTTAAGGAAGCTTTGAGAATCACAAAGGAGTTTTATGATGGTAGGTTGTAAAAATTCAAACAGCCAGGAGAGTGTCATAGGTTAAGAAAAACGAACTGTGAGAAGGAGAAAAAAAATGGAGAAGGAGAAGGAAAAGAATGAGAATGAACGTGCAGGTGGGAGGAAAACGGCGTGATTAATTTCTGTACTCACGTCTGAAGATTATGGCTCCCATCAGTTCCTCCCGCTGCTCTCGACAGTACTTGAGGGAAATGAAAAGAAGAGCCCTTTTTGGGTCATGTAAGTGATTACTCATTCTTTGCCACCAGAGAGATTTCCACTCCATAGATGACAAGGACACCAAGGAGAATTACTTTCTCCTTAGAAAGAGAATCATTCAGAGGTTAATTGAACCTGAGGAGCATATATTCTATGATGGAAACAGACATTTATTACATTCCACCAAATTAAGCTTTCCTGTCTCAGACTATATAGAGACTTTTTCAGATTAATTGTCGAAGCAAGAAGGGCATTTGTGTGTGTATATTGACAAGCAGTGTGATATATACAGAAACCATAATTCATAAGCTAAAATATTAAAGTAATAAATTCAGGTTGGAAAGTAAAGGCTTCTTGGTACCTTAAGTACCTGTTCCTGAAACGTAAAGCAGGGGATGCATTTTTAGACAGAAAGCATCTAAAATAACGCTACTTGTGTACAACGTTTTCAGACTCTGGTTTTCATATCAGCAAAATCATGAATTAGTCTTTTCATACAAGAAACAAACATAGCGGTGCTCATTAGTAATATCATAACCAAAAGTGATGAGATAGTGATAAAAGCCTGGCATTTATTAACATACAAAAAAAGGTAGAGGATTAGGCATTTGTATTTAAAAAGAAGCAGCAAAAGAAAGAAGCATCATTGCAGATCTGTATGCTAGTATAATAAGGACTCAAGAATTTGGTAGTTGTACACAGAGTTTAAGGTTGAAAAAATGGAGCTATGTATTGGTGAAATACTTTATAGTAGTATAGAAGAACGATTTTATCAGCTATGAAGTTGACATTGAGGAAGCCTTGCACTGACATATTTTAGGTAATAGGTGACTTTGGCAACTATGAAAAGCAATATTTGATTTTAAGGGGTGGTGTACTTACGGAAGAAATGACTGTGTGGGGTGGAACTAGGGAGAGGAAGAAGCAATGAAGTGTCCAAGGCAGGGATAATATTCAGTTTCTCTTTCTCCCTGCAGCACCTAGTACAACGTACTTGTTAAGTGTCTACTGAATGGATAGAAAAATTACTTAGGATAAAGGCATATGCTTTATTATTGGAGGAAGTATCCTGAGGTCAGGAAGTTGCTAATGGGATAGGGGTTGAGATGGATGGTAAAGGTATTGGTTGTCTCTTTGGGGTTTTCTACCACTGTATTTTCTGTTTCTTTTCACTCATCTGTTAGGATGTTTTTGGTGGTCAAGTGAAAAAGTCCTGATTTTTAAAAAAGTTTCCAAGCTCATGGCTGGCTAGAATAGTTACATTATTGCTTAGTTTGCTGATGCTTTGCGAAATGTAGGAAACTCAAGGCTATCAGCAGGAAGTAGCAAGGTAGCAGTGAAGAGATAGCTGTAGCTTTTCTTTTTGTTTTGTAAGTCTCTTGGCCACATCAGAATTCAAAGTAAAAATAACTCCAGTAGGAAGTTAACATTATTTAATAGAAGTAAGATGATTGGGGAAAAAAAGCAAATGAGTATATTATTTCTGTTTCCTAGTCTTATTATCGTAAGTGGGAAGAAGTTTTCATTTTTGTTTTTGGATTTTTGTTTGCTTTTTGTTTTACCAGAGTGAGAATACTTTTTCCTCTCTCTCTGTTACTTTCTGAAACTCGTAAGTTCAGTCAAAGGTAGAAGACAAATTTCCATTTTTGCTGTTTCCTCTTTGTCCTCCAGATCTGACCTGGTCTGTACTCAGATTGTTGGACTCAAGGAATGCCCCCATCTCTCAGCCCTTTTGCTCGTTCACAGTATAATCGGGCTGCGGGACCATGGTCCCCCTCCCCTCCTTTCTGGAAAGTCTTCCAGAATTAGGCTAATGCCCACTAAATGCCCTTCCCTCTGCTGCTGGGGGCACTACACAATTTGGCACTTAGCCCTATACTTTCTTCTAGAGTTCTCTCTCATTTTATGTATATGAGTCTTGTGTCTCTGATTAAATTAAACATTTTAGGAGCTGAGTCCCTGACTTAGGCTTCTTCTTTATTTCTTTTAGCTCATAGTGAGTTTTCAGAGTATACCTGATAATTTCAATAGGATCATAATAGAAAGAGGCCAAGCCTTTAGTCAGGGATGATTGCGTTATTTCTAGCTATGCCACCTGGGAAAGTCATGACCGATTATTTCCTCTGATAAGTGGGGATAATAAAACCTGCAATGGTTGTCTAATAGTCAAGTTGTGAGACTCCAAATAAATGTGCTTATCATGTGAATGAAAATATCTTGTATATTGTAAAGAATTTCTTAGCTATAAAGGGTTGTTATTGATTCAGGCATACAGCAGACATTTATTGAGCATCGGCAGTGTGTTAGGTACTTCCTGGCTTCTGGGTTGCTATTCGTAAAGCGAATAGGAAATGACTGGATGGACTGTGTGTGAGAGCAGGAGGGCTTCCTAGGCAGAGGAACAGCTTGGGCAAAGGCACAGAGGCAAGAGAGGACAGCTCTTAGTAGTAGTTCATTGTGGCTGGAGCAGAGAAAACTTAGCAGAAGAGTGGAAGGAAGTGAGGTTGGAGAGGCACATACAGGCTAAGTCAGAAAGAACCTAAGGAGTGAAGTTTTTATCTTGAAGGTAATGAGAAGGATTTGGGTCATGATCAGTTTTGCATTTGAAAGGGATCACTGGCAGCATGTGAATGACGATGGATGGAGAGCCAACGTTAGAGACAGAAAAAACAAAATTGGAGATTTTGCAGTAATTCCATGAAGAAATGGTGAGATAACGAGGCAGTGGTGGTGGGAATAGGCAGGAGGGGCCACTGAGAGGTAGTGTTGGTGGGCCTTGGTGTTGTAGCGGGCTGAGGAAGACAGAGTAGCCAGGGAGGACGCCCAGCTCAGAGGGGGATTGCTCTGCGAGTTGTTGAAACTGGAACGCAAAAGAAGGAAAGAAGTCTTTCTTTTTCCTTTTCTTTTTGAGGAATGGGCTAGATGATGTTCAGTTTTGAACATAAACGTTTGAAATGCCTCTCCTCTAAGTTGGGATGTCATGTAAGCTGTAGTTGGACGTGTAGGTCTGGAACTAAAGAAAGAAGTCTGACATGAAGATAGACGTTTGGATTAAGCATTCGGCAATTGAAGTTAAAATGTGAATGATTCTCTGCAGGGAGACTATGTGGAATGAGAAGAGGGTCAAGGATAGAGCCCTGGGGTACTTAGGTATTTTACATTAGAAGGAGGATGTGGTGGAAGAACCCAAGGAAGCTAAAGAGGAGTGGCCAGAAAAGTAAGCTGAAAGTCTGAAAAGCTGATTATAACAGAGTCCCTACTCTCGAGGGTTCGTGTATTGGCATTCCCTGAAATAATTACATTTTCCTCAACCTGCCATAAAATGCACAACATAGTTTATCAATCTATTATTGTTTTATTAAAGTTAATCCAAAAATGACTACCTATTACTTTGGTACCAAAAAAGAAAATTTCCTGATATTTGTGGTTTTTCACAGTCTCTGTTTGGAACAACAATTCGAGTAAAATGTGACCTCGGGAGTTATGATGATGCCTCAAGCAAATACCGTCTTTGAAAAAAGATGGGTAAAAAGTTCATTTTGTGTATGTCGAAGGTCAGATGAATACGTTAACTCCCTTGGGGAGACTGGCAGGCGCCTGTTCCTTAGATTTCAGCTTTTATTGGTTCTCATCCATTTGCTCAGATGTCTACCTCGACTGCCTAAATAAGCCAAATTAATATTTTAGCAAACTTGATTAACTCTGCTTTTACTCAGTGTTAGTTTTTAGAATACTTTACAGTAAAAGAAAATCGTCAAAATAATACTGAAAAGCACTGAATGGCCCATTTGAAATTCTAGCAAAATTTACAAAATTTCCCATGACTTACAAACATCTCTGTGGGGATTGATATGTTATTATGATACATAAGCATTGATTGAGCTTGGGAAGTCTTTCTGTGTATAAGTCTTAAAAGTTTTAAAGTACCAGTAGAATGTAGGATTCTTAAAAAAAATTCATTTTGCAGGATTGGTTATTCAAGCCAGTATTTGAGTTAAAAGTGGATCATGTGGTATGAACTAATATTGAGTTAAAAGTGAATCATTTTTTTGAGTGTTTTTAAAAAGGCGATTAACTTGGTTTGCTACTTAAGATCAAAATAAAGTTAACTTGTTAGAAGTTTAGAAATAAGGTTATTAAAATAAATTCTGAATTTTTACCTTACCTTGTTCAAGGAAAGTTTTAAGTAGGTAGTGGAAACCAAATAGGATATACTTTTGGGAGCTCTGAGCCAGTTAAAATAAAGGCAGACAAAGGGGTCACCTTCTAAAGTCCCAGTACTGATAAGTCTGTTGTTTGAATTAAAGTATAACATGCTTAGGAGATAAAGTTTACATGTTAAATATTTGACTCTAACTCCACGTGGGTGATTAGAACCATGTTTTCTCAATTTTTCAATGCTTTTCTTTCCATAAAAGAACTACACGTTTTCTGTTTTATGTATATCTTCCAGACCACCCTGCCTGACATCGCTCATAGTGTCAAGTATTTCTTCAACCCACAGTGTTGCAGCGTGAGCCCATGTTCTTAATATAGTCAGGAAGTGCTGTGGTTACACCTACACTGTACACTTGACGGGGATTAAGCCAAGATCACCTGCTCTACCACACACAAGCTGCTAGAAGCCAGATAAATTAACTAAATCTCCAAAGGCTTAAATGTCCTCATTTGAAAAATGGAAATAATAAAGTAAACCCTCATGGGATTCTTAAGAGTTTAAATGAAATAATCCATATAAAGTGCTTAAGTACCTATAGCATCTGCTACCCAGTAAGCACTCTTTAAAGGGTAATTGGTAGAATCATCATCATTTTCATTATTGTTACCATTATCATTACTCCAACTTTAGGGATAGTATAGAATCATGCTTCTCAAAGTGTGTCTGCAGCCAGTGCCTGTCCACACATGTCACTCGGTTGCAGTCCGATAAGGAGCTTGTGCCAGCTTGTACCTAGCCTGTGGCACTAATCATACTGTTTAGGTCGGCTAAATTTTTTAATAGCACACTTTCTTCATAAAGGAAATGA